TAGCAGTCCTTGTTTTGGATCGTCTAGTACGTTATTCAGAATGAGCAGGTGTTTGCCTCTGCTCCTGCTGTTTCTGCAGCAGGAGCAGAGGCAGCAGGAGGAGCAGGAGCAGCAGGAGGAGCAGCAGTAACATTGTATCGTCTCCAACACAATCAGCCGCTCGTGTTTGTGAAGTGGAAGTCGTGTCTGATCTGGAGCCATTTCCACCTCACACAGATTCAAATGTTTCTACTGTCGACATGATTAGAGGGAAAGCAACGAGGAGGCGCATAACTGAACAGAGGAGGTGATAGAGGAGGGGGAGGAGAGACAGGAGACAGAGGGGAGAGAGGAGAGAGAGGAGAGAGGGAGACAGAGGAGAGAGGAGAGAGAGGGAGAAAGAGGAAGAGAGAGAGGAGACAGAGGAGATAGAGGGAGAGAGAGGAGAGAGAGGAGAAGAGAGGAGATAGAGGGAGAGAGAGAGAGGAGGAGAGAGAGAGGGAGAGAGAGGAGAGAGAGAGAGAGAGAGAAAGAGGAGACAGAGGAGACAGAGGGAGACAGAGGAGAGAGAGGAGACAGAGGGAGAGAGAGGAGACAGAGGGAGAGAGAGGAGAGAGAGGAGACAGAGGAGAGAGAGAGGAGAAGAGGAGACAGAGGAGACAGAGGGAGACAGAGGAGAGAGAGGAGACAGAGGGAGAGAGAGGAGACAGGACAGAGGAGAGAGAGGAGAGAGAGGAGACAGAGGAGAGAGAGCAGAAAAAGGAGACAGAGGAGAGAGAGGAGAGAGAGCAGAGAAAGGAGACAGAGGAAAGAGAAGACAGAGGAGAGAGAGAGAGAGAGAGGAGAGAGGAGAGAGAGCAGACAGAGGAGAGAGAGAGGAGACAGAGGAGAGAGAGAGGAGAGAGAGGAGACAGAGGAGACAGAGGAGAGAGGACACAGGAGAGAGAGGAGAGAGAGGAGACAGAGGAGAGAGAGGAGAGAGGAGAGAGCGGAGACAGAGGAGAGAGAAGAGACAGAGGAGACAGAGGAGAGAGAGGAGACAGAGGAGAGAGAAGAGACAGAGGAGAGAGAGGGTGTGTCTCTGTCTTTCTGGGTCTGTCACGGTGTCATTGCTTCTCTGAGGTTCATCACTCACTGTAAAGACACAGTGAATGATGAAATCCAGATTCCGTCAAGACTCTGAATACTAAGCAGGGCTGGGTCTGGTTAGTGCTGTGATGGGAGACGTCTGGGAGATCTTGGCAAGGAACGACTCCAAAAAACCCAGTGGGAAAAAAGTGAGAAACCTCGGGGGTCCATATTGACACAGGGATCCAATTCCACGGACTGTAGATCCAGGACTGAGGCTGTAGACCCAGGACTGAGGCTGTAGATGCAGGACTGAGGCTCTAGATCCAGGACTGAGGCTGTAGACCCAGGACTGAGGCTGTTGATCCAGGACTGAGGCTGTAGACCCAGGACTGAGGCTGTTGATCCAGGACTGAGGCTGTAGACCCAGGACTGAGGCTGTAGATGCAGGACTGAGGCTGTAGACCCAGGACTGAGGCTGTAGACCCAGGACTGAGGCTGTAGATCCAAGACTGAGGCTGTTGACCTATAACCGAGGCTGTAGATCCAGGACTGAGGCTGTAGACCTAGGACAGAGGCTAAAGACCCATAACTGAGGCTGTAGACCCAGGACTGAGACTGTGGATCCAGGTCTGAGGCTGTAGACCCATAACTGAGGCTATAGACCCAGGACTGAGACTGTGGATCCTGGTCTGAGACTGTAGATCCAGGTCGGAGGCTGTAGATCCAGGTCTGAGGCTGTAGATCCAGGTCTGAGGCTGTGGATCCAGGTCTGAGGCTGTGGATCCAGGTCTGAGGCTGTAGACCCAGGACTGAGGCTGTATAGATCCAGGACCTGACCCACTTTTGTCATCAAAGCATTTAATTCCATGTAAAACTATCGCCCGTGCTGTAAATCCTTTTGAATGCAGACCCTTCTTGAATATTTTTGCTATGATTGACACACCACCTGTTCCACACAGAGACAGTTAATGGGTGGGGGGGGGGGGGTAGAACACATCAGACACAGGTATCGGAGGTGACCCAGTTGTGCCAGCTGTGTGCTCACATGAAAAGAAGAGCTTGTCCTATTTTGGGTCTTCCCCGAGGCTGAGGCCAGAGCCGGATCCAAAGCAGAGCCCATGGTTTCAGCTCATGGTACAAACAGTGACAACGATGGTATTTTAACTGAACTCACTGGTTGGTTTTCTTTGAGATCTCGTTTCCCTGAAGAGACCGAGACATTCTACTTTTTCTCAGAACCAAGTCAGACGTCTCCCAGTCTTCAAAAGCATGAAAAATAATCTAAGTTTGTGTAGTTTGTGTGTGTTGAAGAGATATCGGTTCATAAACAAGACATATTTTCATTGGGAACTTGGCACATGTATCAAAGAACCAAATACACTGCAAAAAATGATAAAATATGAGGTAATATTTGCTTGAATCAAGTCTTTTTTTCACATTCTCACTGTGA